AAAGGCACCAATGCTACCACTTCTGCTTGATCGATCAATCTCGGACGCTGGACCACAACTATAAACCGCGTTCGAAGAACAATCAATACGCATCGACATAACTGCCGTAAACTTGTCAGGTTGCTTCCAGACCTCACACCTCCCTACTGGAACTCGGATCTTATCAAAATCTCTGATTCTGCCGCACCCGCAATCAATATCCACCAATGCGTTGGAGACCGAAGAGAGCGTTTGTTCTACTTGATGTAAAACAGCGACCGCGCGAGTTCTTCCATGATTATGATAGAGGCTTATGGAAATCCACCGCAAATTGAGGTGATAACGGTTAGGAAAAAGCTCTAGAGGTAGGCCGGTATGATGTTACAAGACATGGACTTGATACCATTTACTCGGAAGGCATACTGTGCTCCCCGAAGATGGCGGAACTTCTCCCCGGATTCCCACGATATGCGGCAGTGATTTAGCGGCGGCTACCGTACTCTCCACTAAAAATTCAATCCTTTCCTTCATAGCGCGACTACACGGGATCGGGTGCGACGACCGCGACGCGATTTCCGGGAGAAAATACCACGTCCGCATGGAAGTCTTGAAGTTCCAGTGAATGGGTACGGGGAAACCGGGTGGAAATACCTTCGCCCGCATTAAAACATTATATTGGTAGTAATTAACGGTCCTATACCGTTCATACTTCCTTGCAAGCTTTCTTCTGAACCATACATTATAAGGGAACCCTACATTTTTTCATGATTAGAGTTGCTTTTCGCCCTAACGAAGCCCCCAAAAAACAATAATTCTGTTTCAGTGCATCAGAAGTATGAAACCTGCATGAGCACTGACCGCTCCTCTTCTAACTCTTATAAAATAAAGAAAAATACTCACAGTTCGAATAATTTCAAGAGGTGCTTGTCCAGCCGGATCAACGAATCCAAATACGGGTTTCAAACGATAGTCATTGTTGTTTGAGCATTTTACTTTAAAGATCACTTTCACTTCACCAGCATTAGCTAACGTGTGTGCAGAGTTTCCACCAGATGCCGGGATCGAAGCCGCAGGTGGATCGATCGTCAAAGACATAACAGAGCAGCATGTAAACCTACCACTCTATGGACTATTTATACCAGGTTGATTTCCATTTACACTCGTATCAAACACGATTTTACATATCTAATTTGATTTAACCCGTTAAACCTGTAAATTCATGAAATTGACGACGGTAACTTCAAATCGTAAGAATGGGTTGTGTTGGGCGTTTCGTTATTGGGAGGGAGGGAAGGAGCTGCGCTTCGTTGCGCGCGTCCGTCGAAACTGCGTCGCCGCAGCTGTCGCACGCGGCGCATTAGCCCGCGATACTTGACAGACGTCGCAGTTGTCAGTGGGGCATACAATCTGCGCTGGGTCAAGGCAGTCCGCTCGCAGAGAAGATAAGACAGACAATTGCAAATACTGACACTTTGTGGTACTGTAATGTCATCTCGAGATCTCAGTGGGGAGAGCCGCGGGCGAAGTGGGCGGGGTAACCTACTTTCGACGGACATGCGCAATGGACGTTCTCCGGGGAAGGGAAGAGAGGGGCTGTTCTGGTCTCCTACTCTCACACCTCGACACACTATTCATCGTTGCCTTTTCATGGGTGACTGCTTGACTGTCACCCATGAAAAGGCTGAGCCGTCTCCTTACTGCCACTTTTGACTCTGCTGGGCATTGAGAGAGTCGGTAAGGGGACATACATATAACCACCGCTGGTGCCAAGAACTGAACAGCTTGAAAAGGAAGAAATGGGAAGTGAACTGGTGCCGTCAGGACCGTGTGAATGAAAAAGGGGGATCACGCTAAGTGAACCAGGATTTAGGTAAACCAGGAATCCTATTCACTGAGTTCGATTAATTGGGAGCAGAAGCATTGTGGAGAATACAAGTGCTGCAGCGCAATTGCATAATTGTCGAAATTCATTTAACCGGTTGAATTTGGAATTGTAAAGAGGCCGATAGGAAGTGGAATGCGTGGCGCACTCTTAAATTGCTCAGCATTTTGCGTTTCTCTTTCAGTGTACTACTGTTCCCTTGGGTATCAAGGAATAAGGCCAGCATGATAGGAACAGCCTGAATTGCTGGACGATATTGAGTTTTCCTTCGAATAATAAGAAGGAGGAAAGCTGAGCAGTCGAGCTAACAGCGCTCGAGAAGACCATGAGAGAACGAGTTCAATGGGGAGGTTTCCTGCTTGAAATGTCAAGAGAACATGTGGAAGTGAACTTCCGCTGAACCATCTTCAAAAAAAGCAAATAGAACCTATTCAATAGAAACTTTCTGACAGAAAATGCCTGTACAGGAATTTTACTCGAGATAGCAAATAAAGCGAAATGCATAGGAAACTTGCACAAAGTTATATACACTCACAATATAGACCTACTATACAGCACAATAATGTCATCATCATAGCCAGAAGGCAGACCGCTAGCACGATTATCCATGAACTCTGTTCGAAAGGATTGTCACGCTCCGCTATGAGCGAAGATTTTCCAATGTCACCATTTTTTATATATACCATTTTTTNCCCCCCCCCCCCCTCCCCACCTTCTTATCCCTACTTAGAGGCAGAATCTTTTCGGAGATTGTCTTAGGGCACATCAGATCAGGAAAAAATAGAAAAAAGGGAGGACCTATCCGCGACGCCTTGCTTATCTTAATCGGAAAATGAATTAACCCATCGAGGGAACGGTGTTGTGCATCGCGTTCATCTTACTCTTTTTCGAAAGTTAGACCACATCCACCTCTGCTTCCAGTGCTCTAGGTTTAAAAAAAAATAGGATTACAACAGCTACAGTAACCGAGGTAGCGAGATCTTGAATGAGCGTGACTAATCTTTCAAATCAGATTCCCGAAAATAAGATATGGTACACGTCAGGAAATTAAAAATGCTTCCTGTTCACATAATCATCGCTTATAAATACGCGGAAAGCCGTCGAAAGGCGCACGGGGCGATAAGGAAAGCATCACAATCAATATCACATTGCAAGGTCAAATAGGAAAAAAATATATAGAAAACGTATCACAACTGCTTCACGAACATTAAATTCGAAATGACCTTTAGTTGGTTTTCGATACAGAAATATCGGTACCTCCGTCGCAACCACACAGCTTGACAATTTCCATCCGAGGAAATTTCACAAAGGACTATCGCATACAATATTATGAACTGGTATAGCAGTAAACCCGGCTAATAATATTCCAAATGTGTCGGATATGGAAACGAATCCCATACTAAACTCCCTCCGATCAGCTGGAATCTGAAAAAGGAAGAAATTAGCAAACCTCAGTTCCCACCGGACCATAGGAAAGCCGTTGAGAAAACTCGAAGGGAGAAGGAAAAATGTGAAGCAAAAAAAGTTACTAACCTCTTCATGAATAACTCTAAACGTATTTACATAAGAAGCTCCTCCCAAGAGTCCTTCATAGACTATTAAACAGAACAGTATGAAAATATGTGATACAAAACGACTAACTGCTTCACAATACAGAATAGTTGCGTTAAGAACCTGAAACAGAAAAAAACAGTAAGCAGCGATCGAAGTTTGGAAAGTCCGGTAGACATACGACAAACCTGAAGCATGGCCAGCACAGGTAACACCTCTCCTGGTAATGCGATCAAATCCGAAGATGATCGGGAAATAAACACACCCACTTGATATAGCACTTGATACCAGCGATACTGACTTTGTGGACTGAGGCTGAACCCATGAGAGCAGTCGAATTCTAGCAACTCTAACTGAAACGAAAAATTTCTACAGCAGTTCTACTCTGTAATGCAAGATACACTTTCTATCGGATTGGATTCTTCTCCATCATACCTATGCGCGGCTAATCATTTCATCCTCTGACTACAACAAATATGCACTACAATCGAGAATCCTATAATCTGTTGTGTTCATGTAAAGTGCAAGATACAGTGAGGGATCCCACTACGTTCCAGTTGCAGTGCAAAGGATGAATACTATTTAAGTGAAAAAATCCAAAAAAAAAAAANAAAAAAAAAGATCCCGTGTCGAAGAAATCGCTTCAAAGAAAGGTATATTGACGTTATCCGACACTGCACTTCTTGACACGCAGAGGAGTAAGTGGATGCAGAAATTCGAGCAATCATGCACGCTGATTATCCTTCGCGAAATGAACAGTAATAGGTGGAACAAAAATTTGCACTTTGCTGATGAAATGGTTTAAAAATAATTGATTGAGCACGTGTTCCAGCGAAAGTGAGCAGTCGTGAGTGTCACCACGCCACACAACGAATTCCAATCACCCGCTAGAAATGCCAGAACAGACACTGTCCTCTACCGACCAGAAGAGAAGAGACAAACAGTAAAAATGAAGATGAAAGATTTGAAGAAGATTATTATAGCGACTCACCAATCCTTGATTGATGAAATACTCCGCAAAGTAAACTATTATCAGCGGTATCATGTATTTGAATAGAGGCTTGATATATCTGAACTCGTGATAAAAGCCAGCACGTTGAGGTGGCTCTGGTGTCAGGCCTGAACGAAAGACTTCAATTAAGTAACTTGAGATAGTTTTTGTCTAATTAGCGGGCACGTCTCAAAGGAAATCAGTGAGCAGGGAGGATGAAAATAGCAGAACATGTTTCCGACCCTGTTGGATCTTTTCCTGTTGTTTAATAAATTTTCCCTTCGTAGAAAATGAAACAAACGAAATTCAAAGTGAAACAAGAGAAAAAGTGTTGCTTACAACTTCACTCGAAGCTCGNTTATCAGTATGTCAGAATTGGAAATTCAGAAAATACCTCTTGTTTCTCTTTCGTCCTCAACATCTAGAAGAGGTCTTTCTATTTCGGATTCCGATGACGCGGATCTTCGCCGAGACTGAGCGACGCGATCTGAAACTTGGCTTTTCACGACAACTACTGAAAAAAACCTTTAAATGAATTTCGGAACAGAGAACTTTGAGAAGCAACCACTTTGGAGCTTACCATTTCTATATCGTACGACATAGGTCTTTGGATCGCACACTTTGACCCTGTGCACTGTCTGAGGTAGATCTAGTACGAACCAGAAGCTGTAACAAAGAGCATAACGAAATCTTGAAACAAGAACTAGAAGAGAGGAGTTAAGTAGAAGAAAACAAATAATGAATATGACGACAAAGGTGATTATCATAGGTTCTCCTCATCCTGTCAAGCACTGACCAAGATTTTTGAGATGGGTCGCGCGTTCAACTTTTACTTAGGAACTCGATGGGAAGAACCTTCCAACGTGAATTCGGCACAAACAATGGTTATCAGGACAAACTGATATGCTGTACTTCATCCTTATACCAAACTTTTGCGGTTCCCTGTACCTAAACTCATTTTTCACGTTATGTTACCTAATGTTTGGTTGAAGAGGGCGACGATCTGGACTGAACTGCTGCACGGAAAGTAACTGTGAGAAGAACGGGGTTTCTGGTATACCATTCACAATAGTAAAAGCTTTCCATCCAACACCTTCTCCTCCCATAACCTTCGTTACCAATTGTGTAGCGCATGATGTATTTTCGAAAGATTATATGAAAAGAAATTATAAAAAANAAAAAATACTTACGTGTATGCGAAAATTAAAGGTATTATAAGCATGCTGTACAATGCTGTATGAGGTGATAAGTGTAGCATTAATGGGTCAGTAAGAACAGCATAAGTCATGGCACCAACGATTCCCGCACCACCAGTACCCGATGACCACATAGAAACAACTTGTCTGAAAGCAGAAATGTGAAAACATATGCTGCAAGATTTCAGCATTGAGTGCTGATTTTCATATAATCAGCAACTCTCAACAAAAAAAAAACGTAACGCACGAGTCAAAATATGAAGCCAGAGCCAGGTAAGAGATCTCTCCAAGACCGGATCCCCAACTGGCGACAACAACACCTGAAATGATCACCCAGTCAATACGCGGGAAAATATATTAGTCAACGTTGAATTACTTACCAAAAAGAGCCACAGAAACGTTGCTGCTTGCAGCGACTAGGATAAAACTCAACATCTGAGCCATGACAACAAGAAGATGTCGAAATCTGTGAATCAAAGGTTGTAGTGAACAAAACCAAAGCAGTTTTCTTCAAAGCCCACAAGGTGCCCTCAAAAGGAAGAGGGTGGCTGTCGTTGAGAAGTATGAAACCAGAGAGGTGGCAGGTTCCACATAAAAGGGTAAGAGAACGCCTACATGAGTAACAAACCCGTAATGAGGAAAAGTAATGTACGACAAGAGTTGAGCAAAAAAATCAAAAAATGAATTACCCAAAAGGAACCATGCGGATATACAGTGGAGCAGTAACTTTGACAACGAGGGCAGGAATAATATCGGCCAATAAAACTGCACCGGTAGACATGCGTTGACATTGCCGGTCAACAATTCGTTCCTAAATATATAAATACTGCTTATACGATGATACAGAAATTCTTACACGCTCAAATAAAAGGTCAAAGCTCTGTTCATATGTAAACTTCATTTACAAAGGTGAGGAAGGTTATTCAAACAGAACGTACACGGCAGGTGTGTGTTCCGTTGTATTTTTGGGCACCGTTATCCGTTTCCAATATATCCTTTGCTGCACTCAACATGACGACATATGCGAAATTGTTGCATAGTCCGAGAATCCTGTAAGCCAAGACAGGCTCAACATAGGAACTTAATTTGGGCCACACGATTACTCCATACTGGGATGCATTGATTTAAAACAACGGTTTACTTGGATTGAAAGCATAAAATTCCGTAACTCTCATTGAAAGGATCTAAATTATTTGCAAAACTCAAGTAAATTAAGGATCAGTCTGAACTTTCGGAATCTTTTGCAGAACATCTCATCCATCTCTCTCTTTTGGATACATCCTGAACAAACATATGATCTGTTTACAGGGTTCCCGGTTATCAACATTCAAACGATGTTCACTCTGCGAAAAAAAAAAACCCAAAGATTACTATAGCTCGCCGTCGAAACGTTTTGTATTGTAAAATGAGACAGTAAGCCGTTCCGTATCCCGGTACAGGTTGTGATACTAAATCCTTTGGTGTAATCCTCCCATTTTTAATCTAAGAAAAGGAAAATACCTAGTGAAAACGTACATCGCAGTTTCATAACAAAGTAATACCAACTTAGAGTAATACCAACTGAACCGTTCGCCCTGCCGTTGGGTCATTTAATCGTTTTCGGGAATGAAAGTTTTGTTTGAAAACGTCTGATTATGGAGCCTTGGGGTAAACACGTGATATCGTTGGCATGTTCCTTCAAAAAAAAGCTCGTTTGATACTTAGCAAAACAAAAGGAAAAGAAAAAATTATAAGGCGCAAAACGAAAAAAACATGTTCTCAACCATGTCCTTTTTCATAACTGGCCACAATTTCAGGCAGACGAACTCACCAGAATCCCAGGAGATTCCTGCTAGAAACGCCAGATGATGAACGACTAATTGAGTGCAAAGCAGGTCTGGTGTGGCTTAGTCTTTCGACCGTACGGTTAGGTACAGGCATCTCGTCGTTGGGGCGAACCTATAAAACTACAAAGTAGACACAATAAGACAGCTGAGAGGCCGATTACTCTATAGAGTGATGAAACGGTGCCTGAGAACCATCAAAATCATATCAACTGCTTTGATAACAGACAAATCTAACTAATACCCAAATGTGAGGCCACAGCTGATGGACGCATGAATAATAATGGTTTACGGTGCAATGTGGCAACTGCAACTGCGACCCACCGTCGTTAATCTACGATTTGCGCGCGAAGTCTTCCTATTTGAACTTGGCAGCCCGACATTACCGCGTTCGAAGTTTCGGCTTGCTTTTTGTTTGCTTTTTTACTAATTTTCTAATTTTCCGCTTGTTTATTATGCAGGGTTAATTGCGCTTGTTTTGTGAGCAGTGGTTCACTAAGGTGTTGAGTGGGGCTTGTTTTATAAGCCCTTTTTCGCAATTTAGTAATGTGAGTGTAGCTCCAGGAAATATTTAGCTGGTTGAGCAGAAGTTGCTTAAATATGCCACTGTTGACCCTGTTCTCGCATGGGGATTGAGAATTCACACTTATGGAGCGTTTAAACTATGCAATTAAGCATAATGATACTTGTCTTTTTTGTTATACGCAATTCCTCGGTAGGTATTTCTTACAGTACTCAGCTGGGACCTCGTTTTCTTTTCAGATAGGGGTGTACATGCAAGCTTGCATCAGGCTACAGTATTTGAAGTGTAACAAGTCTGGGTGTTTATGCTCGGAAGCCTGTTCACACGTCTTCGAAACTCCAGAGTTCCTAGTTAGGCTGTAATAGAAGAGAACCATCAGTTTTGTGTTACCCTGTGTTTTTCCTTTATAATTCATTTATATGATACAGTGAGATGCCACTGGAGCTGTTCAAAAGGCGATGGGATTGGGGGAAAGGGTAAGCCTAAGGCGTTTTACATATCTCAGCCGTTTAAGTTTACCTAGATGCCGAACATGGAAGATATAAAGATGTGCTCTCATGAACGCCATTCAGCTCAACTTGCTCTTAAGCATTACTACTTCACCTCAAAATAACGTTGTCGGGTTTCAGGAGATGTCGGATGCAGAGAATGAAGTGGAGTGCCGTCGTTCATCGCGTCGACGAGAAAGTGCGCAGAAACAAAGTCGACGAAGTGCGCTTGAGGCCATGAAAGAAGCTCGACGGCAAGGGAAAGTACACCGCGTTGATGTGAGTTGTCAGAATATCTAAAATTTGAATTCTTAAAAACCGTTCGTCTTGAACAAACATAAAATTCACACGTTAAAGCCACAAAGCAATGTTATTCTATAGAGCTTCCGATATGGTATTTGAGCGATTGAAATGAAACCACCACATCAACACATGGGCCTTTCAGTGCAGGAACTATTCTCACGCTGTTTTGTCCTATAATCATATTCAAGAACACAAAAATTGTATCAGGTGAAATCATGGAAAAGATAGAAGCGAATTAATTGTCAAAGCATTCATCTATATTAACAGAAGTTTTTTGGAGACAGGTCAGACAATATATATCAAGTTTTCCATTGTTAGGAGTATTTTACGAATAGAATTGCCATAATCTTCGCGTCTATCTACCTGAGAAGCCCTTAGAAAAATCGGATCGTCGGGTCAGGTATGGGATAATTGGCTCATAAGCAAAAATCAACAGAGCATGTGTGAACTCAGCCAAGACTCATCGAGGGGGCCAGACATGCACAAGAATGGGTGATGCCTTCTGCGGAACTTCCTAACTTTGTTCCAGAGCAGACCAAACACGGGAAAATGGGCAGAGGGGATGAAGCAAAATGGGCGAGTGAGGCAAAAAAAGAAGTTTTCGCGAAAGTCGTAAAAACTCACAACTCTGTTTAAAAACATATTAGATCTCTTAGAGAAGTGGAAGGATTATCCAATGAGTGAGTTTCGGGTGTTTGTCGTGACTGGTTGTATGTCGAAGTGGGTTCAACTAATTATAAGATCGAAACTTATAACTCTGTTCAAAAGAGTTCTAAAATTCGTGTAAAAATAGATACAGCCGTCAAAAGAGAAGTGGTCAAACCCTAATGATGAGCGGGCATGCGCCAAGGTGGGCGGAGCTAATCTGTAATTCATGACTTTACAAAAACGTTCATTGTTGTTGTCATGCACTCGTTAGCACGCATGGACCAACTGGTTTAGCATGATTACAGTAGTATTATAGGTTCTTCCTTGTATGAGAATTAGGGCACCAATGGAAAATGCACCTGATTTCCCTAAGCGTTAAAATAACTGAACTTCGAACAGAGGTGCTTCGTATAATTATTGCATTGCTAAACGACTTTCTAAAAGAATAAGTCTTCTGTGAAGGGGTTAATCCCATTTAAGGGATGCGCTCCGCACTCGACTTCCATTCAGAACCGGAAGGAGCGGAACCGGAAGGATAGGAGCGTAATGAATAATTTGTGGCCTAAACAATGATTTGCGGTGGCCAGCCGATGTACAAGTCAGTCCTTGAATCCTCCCAGATGAGCATGCTACCAATCAATCCACCTCGAAGGGAAGGAAAGCTCGGTTTGCCCAGGCGAATATCGATACGGGATTCGAACCCGCGACTGCGCCTGTGTGAAGTGCGCCACTTGCCACTACGCCATCTCCTTTTACTGACTCTATGCCGCATAAACAGAGAGTTTTGTAGCAAAACGTTCTTTTTCCACTCATTTCATCTGAATCTATTAAAAGTCGAAGTGTTGGGTGACCTCTTGCAGCATTCAAAGGATTTATGAACACAGTAAAAGTTGCCGAAATTAAGATGATCTGTGGAAATGGAGTAGGAGGCGGAAGAAAAAGGTACGAAACCTATCCGTGCCTCTGCCAAGATTCTTCCTTTCATCATTCTTCAACTATTCACTATTACTAGCAAGGAAAGAGTATGAAAGCGTGAATGAGAACAAAAGCGAAAGCATCTATATGTATGCAAACATTTCTTTTCTGTACATCTGTTTTTTATTTCTCGTCGGAGCAGTAGAAGCTATCGAGAAAAGCGACGCCATTGAGCGTGATATTAGCGATCATCTAAGATGATTATCGTTTTCGTTCTCATCGTTGAATTTAATTTTTCCGAGACGGTAGCGTGGTTTCGTAACATTTTCATTTATCGCCGTTCGGAACTTCAACAGTTGTTCTAAGAATAAGAGTTTCGTATTTTATAGGAATAAAAGAAATCGAGAGAGGATGTCAGGCAAAGTTTATTTGGAAAACGCGATGAGGCCTTGTCTGATTGTGAGTTAGAAGATGATAGAGGATATTACTAAATTATTAGAGGAACAAGTAAGGCGTGGAACTGGTTGCCAATGAATGCATAGCTTCTGTTTTTTTCGATCTGCAAGAATGAATCTCTGAAGAATTCCAAAGCAAAGAGGCACTCTGACAAGCTCGGAATTGATTTCAGAAGCCTTTCCTGGCCATTTCAGGCAGTTCAGAAAAAGAAGTGGGATGGAAAGGATTAAGATGAAACGAGTCAAATGGAATTATGGGAAAAGAGACGAATGGAGATCGAGAGATTGGATGACAAGTTGTCTTTTTACCATACGTAGCATAGGGAGATGCCTCGAGAATGGCTTCAGTCAAAGCGGACGTTTAAAACACATACTTTGCCTTGGAAATAATGGCAAAAGTCTAGCCACGCCACTCATCGACGCCCTTCAATTTTATTGCCGAACGCATTGGAATGTGCAGGTTGATGGCTCATGAGTAACAATTATAGGTTTCCTTGGACACACAAGGCACGCTCCCATTGAATAGGTACATTTAAGTAATCAGGCTTTTCGCAGAGAGATGCGTTCGCTAATAAGGGTGTGAAGAAGATTTCTCATGAGTAGCAAAGGGCATGCGAGTTTTCAACTGATGTTGCTCAAGTGGCTTGTGTCCTCAGCCACTATCAATAACCAAAATCGAGAATTGCTGGTTTCATTCACAAAATCGCTAGATTTCTTCTATCTTTCTAATTATAGATAATATGTTTGGTTGACTTGCCCCAATGCTTTTTTTTCAGCTTGACAGCCTTGTTACTAATGTCTACGAAGAGGTTGACGAGGATGAATATAATGAGATTGTGCGAAAGCGGCAGGAAGCTGACTTCGTGGTTGATGATGGTGGGTTCATATGGTATTGGTTCAGCTTTTGGAGTACAAAAGTGTCGTTTCACTAAAGGCTGTTCAAATAGTGATAGTTTTCAGTGCAATATGATTATAGTTCTAAAAATGTTCCAAGCCTTTTTCGGTTGTGTGCTTAATGTGTTAATTTATTTTTAGACTCATGAGGGAAAATTGCAGGCCAGTCACCCAGGCCCTTCCATCTCCCATATGGCTATGCCTAGCGCTACTTCCTCGTAATACTAGTCGCTATCTTCAACAGGAAGCCCGTTCCTTACGCTTTCTAAGGGTAATACTAAAAGTGGGGCGTTATTCAGCTGAGGATTGCCCCTGAAAAAAACGCTCCCTTGTGGATTCCCACGCATGTAAGTCTCTAGATGATGAAGTTTTTATGGAGCCCATCAAGACAGCAGATCCAAAAATATGCATAGGGTTGAATACTGCAGTAGGGGTTTTTTTTTTGTAGTATAAAAACGTATGACTAATGTATACTGGATCTTTGTGTTGTGAACGTCTTGGCAACATTTCAAGAAATAGATAGATATGATCCTAGTCCCGAAATACCAAGGAATTTCGAAGTGTCCGAGCTTTGGAATTAAAACATTAGGAGCATTCTTCAGACGGAAGCGGCTATGTTGACCATGGCGCAGACATTTTCGATGATGATGAAGAAGATGAGTACGAATACAATGGCGAAGAAGTCAGCAAAAAGAAAAAGAAGAAGAACGATAAGAAAGGTAAATCATCATCTCTTATATTAAGAGCCTTAGTCAACTATTGTCAGCTATTTAGTAATCCGTAGAAGTTCACTAATTACTGTTGTCGATTCCTTCTAAAATAGTTGCGCCCATTCGGATAACTGCAGAGGGCTTGAACATGTCGGTGTGCACTACCGGTAGGATAGACCTGCCTTCGGCGGGCTCTCACTATGACAAGGGTGGCATGCTCGGTCGATGCTCTTTTCAATCGATCTATTGTTTTTATTCCCTATTCCTAGAAAATTTGAGCATTTTCGCAGGGGAAATGTAACGTTTCCATCACTTCCTCGATTCCAGCTTCCTTTATCTCTTTTTATCGCTTCTTATCATTAAACGCTTGTCACTCTTCATCTGCCATCCCGTCAATACCCATATTGGGCATATGAGTGCTCACGATTCATTGTTGAAACGAATGAGAAGTAACAATACCATTTTCCGCTATCAATTACAAGTCCTAGCAGCCTATATCAACTGGCTGTTCATACTTCCTCTTATTATTCAGGTCATCACCAGATCATGACCGTGTATCCCTTGCACATTTAGGAGTCTTAAACCCATGGCTAATAAATTTATGAATTTCTTGTGATTATTAGGCGTTTTCGGGAGTTTTTTGAATTTTCCTATTTGTAGCTGTTTGGTGCACGAAGGTTTCGATTTATCTCGAACTCTTGTGGTCCTTACAACTTTGGCAATAGTGTTATTTCACTAGTAGAGTTCAGCCAAGAAAACAACGGTAGTTTCAGATCAAACGACGAAAAAGGGTTTGGATAGCTATTTTGCACCTGCAACGCATGCTCGTGGAAAAGTGAAAGACGACGTAAGATTCCCCCATTTTAGCATCCCACTCATCAGTAGTGCAGATCGATGCCATTTTTAAATGGAATGGGAAGAGCAGTTTCCGTTTTCAGACTGAAGTCAAGCTAGAGGATGATGAAGATTTGAAGAACATGTTGGCAGGAATTAATGACGACATGTTGGAGATGGACAACAACGCAGAGCCCTCCTCTGCTCCAATAGTCAATTCTTCGCGGAATCCTTTCAAAAGAGAAGGTAGGATACTCATATTTTGGGTCTTTTTTCAAGGATTATATCATGGGGACATTACAATATATTTCTTTTACAAAAATAAAGACGATATAGGAGTTGGTTTGATTGGAAGGTCGATTAGATATTATATCAAGGCTCATGTTCAGGCTCTCCAACGATTGCTCCACGCAAAGTGAAAGTGATGAAACTCGCGACGCCCACACAGCGAAGTGCACCGATTCGTCGCATTCAAGACGAGCCTCAAAATCACGTGAAAGTGGAAGTGGCAGTGGTGAGAAATGTGCTCCAAGGCAAATTTCGTGGGAGTTCTCCCTTCAGTGGTTTTCTTCTTCAAATTTTCAAATTCTCTAGCAATAGTTAGCGCTGATGCACTTTTATAGCCAGATTTGCGGTTTGCATTAGCGATTTTTTATTTGATAAGATTTCAGTAAAAAAATGTACTTATGACTGTTTTGCTGGAGAGCCAAAAGTGGAGCGAATCAAAATTTGATTATTCGGTTTTCACTAATACCATTGATATGTACATATAGCAAAGCAGCATGATAGAATGACCTCCAGCGTTTGATGTGTTATCCTTCGAAGGGTTCTTATTACAGTAGTTCGTGCTAAGAGATAGCTTCCAGTCTATTTTGGGATTTTTTTAAACAAAAATCATTCTATTCGAATAATTCATCTGTCACAGTTGCATCTGTTGCAAATGGCAATGATACATGCTTGCAGGAGGAGGACGCTGACTATGGCGTGCCAGACTTCGATGACTTTGATGAGCCTACAGCCTATGAGCCTCCCAGAGCTCCCCCACCAACACCTGTGGTTCCAACCGCCAAAATGGTGGTTCCCGCCGCCATGATGTCGGTCCCAAAAGTCATAGAAAGGGATATCAAGAACGATGTAATAAGTTATCCCTGCATAATTTTAGCTTAATACAAGATTTCTTATTTGATTCTTCGCCTAGGCTGAAGAGGAAGAAATCAAAGTCGTGGAGAGTAAACCGAATGCAAAAGCGGGACCACAAATGATGTCTAGTGCCGAGTGGGATGATAGCCAAGCGATGTGAGTTCACAATACCGGAGATTTTGATAACATCAGTCAACATTGACTTGTGCGGCTGCTATCGCTTCCAATACAACAGTATCTGTATAGAAAAAGTTTCAGTTCGGAAGAGCCTATGGTCGACGTTGTAGCGGGTTCCGAAGCCTTCTACGTGAAGGAGGCTGGTCAACAGTTGATCAGAATGTTTTGGCTAGACGCATATGAGGACCCTGTGAAGCATAGTGGTAAGTGGGTTCTCTGCTTCAGAAGAGGACGCTCCACATCACGTAATCCGCCTAATGGGCTTGTTTAGGAACAGTGTATCTATTTGGGCGCGTGAATGTTAGTGGAAACAAGTGGGCTAGTTGTTGTGTCACTGTGAAAAATATTTTCCGACAAGTGTTCTTTTTGCCGAGAGAGACGGTAAGTGTCCAATTCTTCAGCCAATGGAAACAACAACTGAACGGCTCGTTTTGTAATTTTATTTCTTTTTTCTAGAAGTTTGTTCGTGGAACAAGTACGAATGACCCAGTTAGTGATGAGGACCTATTTGAGGAAATCAAGGCTGTTATGAAACGTTATTGTGGCACGTCTTCTTTTAAGTGCAAGGTATTCATTTTGGTTGTCTTTTAGAGCCCCTTTTAGTGTAATTTCCAAGTTTTGTTTCTTTGAAAATGTGCCATTCGTATTCGTAAAATTACTGTAACCCGTGAAATAGTGGGTCGTCCGTTCATTTGTAGTTTAATTGATGTATAAAATGGTCCTGGGTTTAAACAGTCCTGTCAGAAGGATGCGCCTCGTTTTTGACCTCCATTCGAGATCGTGGGGGTATTGAACTCTTATGTACCCTTCCTAATGACTTGTGGTAACCAGCTGATGACGAATCGCCGCCTTTATCCTTCAAGGCTGGTCTGATACCGATCAAATGACATCGAAGGGATGAAAGTTTCGGTTGGCATAAGCGAGCATCGACCCGGAATTCGTACCCTGTATCATGCATATGTGACGGTGCATCGCTACCACTGCACTGCTTCCCTCGTAGTAGTTTATTTACCGTGTTTGAATGCTATTAAAAGTATGTACCTGTATGACAGCATTGATCTCATCATCGATGAAATGGTTTTGTAGCAAACCAAAAAGAGATTTATGAATGATGGAACCATCGCTGGCGAATATAAGGGAGAAGAAGTGAAAGTCGTCGAAGTCCAATATGATGTATGTTGCTTGACTGTGATAGAGCTATTGATGAGGGGACTGCTTCTTCTAAACTAGTATTCAGAGTAATCATCCAAAACTGCAAAGTGATCTTTCGGGAGCGACTTTCTCTGCTGTTTTCAATACTACAGCAACAGCTATGGAAAGACTTTTGGTGGAGAAGGGCATGATGGGACCAGGATGGCTTGATGTGGCAAATTACGGTAGGATTCGCTATGCAGTTTGTTGTTACTGGAGTTATTTAATAGCTACTGATTGCTGATTTGTTGTTTTTTTATACTCTTTCAACGAAATATCGTTAAGATATTTTTTTCAGTTGAGGTGACGGCAAAACTATCCTATTGCGATTACGAATTCAGCGTGGACATGGAGCGTATGCGTAATCTTACGTACAATACTTCGGTAACAGTTCCTGCTCCGCCCGTTCGAACTCTTGTCTTGAGCATGCTCACGACGCTGAATGAGAAGAAAGAAAATGAGGTATCGCGTTTCGAAATGTTCCCAGCAGTGTTTTAAGTTAAATCTTTGTCTCCCATTCAAGTCAGCGGTCAGTCTATTGTAGAATTCAGGCAATAGCTCAAACATATTGGTTCGAATGTTGCAGATATGTATGATATCAACGCTGTACAATCCAACTTGCAGTTTGAGTAATCCAAGCACCGATCAGAAGGATCTGCAACGATTATGCAGTGAGTGTTTGACAAGCTCGTTTCCAACCGTGTGTGATGTTTTGACATTCTTGGTCGTTTTTCCATTTTCCGCCATTTCTAGTGGTAACCAAACCATGCGGTGGCGTGCTACCCTTCGATATAAAGGAACAATTGAACAGACGTGGCCTGTCGGATATCGTCATGACTGCTGGAAATGAGAAAGCTCTGTTATCTCTATTCCTTGCTAAAATGCAAAAGTATGAACCAGATGTGATTGTGGTGAGTTCGCAATCA